AGTAAGTGTGATGAAGTAGTAGGACTGTCGTACTTTGGTAATGTCAAGAGAAAATATGTCTGAATATGAGTCCTCAAGTTGCCTCAGAGATGGTTTTGCCAGCTCCTTCCTCTGAAATAACAGCTAAGCTTACAAGATCAATCAGAAAATTGTGCTTTTAAGGTATTTTGGTGCCTTGAGAATACCTGACTCAGAAGAAAAGACATTGATTGCTAAGAAATGAAGGGAAAGGTTGGAAAAGGTGGAGGAAGCCATGGTTTTGAGCCTGAAAGACCTGAACAGGGCTGTTCAGCTCAGTGTGACTTGAGGTGTAGAATAAATGTAGTCTGACACCTTTTCAGCTGGGATTCTACAAGATGTTGAGCAGGCATGGACAAAGTTGGGTCCTCCAGTTGTTTTGGACTCCAACTCCCACAATTCCTAACAGCCTCAGGTCCCTTCCATTTCATCCTCATCTGCTTAAAGTTGGGCCCTCCAGGTGTTTTGGACTCCAACTCCCACAATTCCTAACAGCCTCAGGTCCCTTCCATTTCCTCATCTGCTTAAAGATGGGCCCTCCAGGTGTTTTGGAGGGTCCACAATTCCTAACAGCCTCAGGTCCCTTCCATTTCCTCCTCATGTGCTTAAAATTGGGCCCTCCAGGTGTTTTGGACTCCAACTCCCACAATTCCTAACAGCCTTGGGCCCCTTCCTTTTCCCTCTCAGCCACTTAAGCTTAAACACCTGGAGGGCCCAACTTTAAGCATCTGAGGGGGGAAAGGAAGGGGCCTGAGGCTGTTAGGAATTGTGGGATTTGGAGTCCAAAGCACCTGGAGGGCCAAAGTTTGCCCATGCCTGGTGTTGTGCCTTCTCTGCCAAATAATGCCTTACTAAAAGTACAACTCACGGAGCGCCATAATGTTAAGCCACAGCAGTTAAAGTGGTATCAAAGTGCATCAATTCTACAATGTGGGTGCACCCCAAGTGCTGGCGCCCCAACAAGAGCCCGACTTGCACAAAGGTAAGTGGGGAATCGGCTCGTTTTTCCCTCCCTCGAGAAATTACCTTTTCTCCTCCTCCTTTTCCTTCCCTTTTCCAGATGCCAACGCAGAGAGGAGAGAGAGAGACAGCTCTGCCTGCTGCTTGGGAAGGAGAAGCGCCAGAGAGCCCAGGAAGGGAGGAGGCTGGGGCTGGAAAGAAAGACAGAAAGAAGAAGAGACCCGGCGCTCCTCTCCCGCTTCTCTTTCCACCCCTTACCTTCAGGAAAGCCCCACTGAGGAGGAGAGGAGTCGGAAGGGACCTCAAGGGCCACCCGGGTCGTCCAAGCTTATCCTGCCATGCAGGGACTCACAATCAAGGCACTCCCGACAGATGGCCATCCAAGATCTGCTTAAAAACCTCCAGAGAAAGAGACTCAGCCACACTCCGAGGCAGCAACAGCTCCCACTATCAGGAATGTTTGGGTGGGATCCCTTTCACTGTCACTCGTGGGAACGAAGATTTTTGCTTGTGGGCTCCCCAGCCTTTGAGAAAAGTCCCACCAAGGAGAGGAGAAGCCCGTTTCCACTAAGTCTGCCACTGTCCGTTTTCAGCAGTCACTCTTTCATTGTATTGGCTCCTTCCCTCTTGGGCGCCTAAAGCAGGAGGAGTTGGTCAAGTTTCACCACTCAAAAGTCGCAGGGAGACCCAATCCAGCCATGTGTCCAGCCTTTAAGGAACGTCACTCATTCCATTTGACAGAACAACAGGAGGATTAAAGTCCATTTCTCCTGAGTCTTGTCAAGTTTCAGCAGCCATCCTTCCTCCTCAGCAGACAATATCGACGTTGGCTTGCTGTGAGTTTTCCAGGCTACCTGGACATGCTCCAGAAGCATTCTCTCCTGACGTTTCGCCACATCTATGGCAGGCATTCTCAGAGGTTGTGAGGTTTGTTGGAAACTAAACAAGTGGGGTTTATCTATCTGTGGAATAATGTCTAGGGTGGGAGAAATAACTCGTTTCTTCCTGAGGCAAGTGTGACTGTTGCAATTGGCCACCTTGATTAGCATTGAATGGCTTTGCAGCTTCAAAGCCTGGCTGTTTCCTGCCTTTGTTGGGAGATGTTAGCTGGCTCTGATTGTTTCATGTCAAGAATTCCCCTGTTTTTTGAGTGTTGCTCTTTATTTACAACCCTGATTTTAGAATCTTTTTTAATATAAGTAGCCAGATTTTCCTGATTTCCTCCTTACTATTGAAACTGTCCACATCTTATATCTAAAGTGAACCCAATGTGAGTCCTTCCCTTGCTTTTGGTGAGAGAGGGGCTCTCTTCCCAGCTTTGCAGCCTTCATTTTCAGCAAGCAAGTCATTCCCCCTTCTTTTCTTTCTTTTGCAAAGGAGGGCTGGTGACCTAGTCCAGTCACTTGCCAGGGTTTTTTTTTTTTAGGGTTAAGTTTATTGAGTCGTTGAATCACTGGTTGCCATTAATTAACAAAGTTATCTAGTAGTTCTGCTCTTAAGAGTACAGTTATTGGGATTCTGTAAGTTTTTTGGGCTGTATGGCCATGTTCCAGAAGCATTCTCTCCTGACGTTTCACCTGCATCTATGGCAGGCATCCTCAGAGGTTGTGAGATCTGCTGGAAAATAGGCAAGTAGAGTTTATATATCTGTGGAATAATGTCCAGGGTGGGAGAAAGAACTTCTGTCTGTTTGAGGTAGGTGTGAATGTTGCAATTGGCCATCTTGGCTAGCATGTAATGGCCTAGCAGTTCTCAAGGCTTGGCTTCTTACTGCCTGGGGGCATTATTTGTTGAGAGGTGATTAGCTCTCCCTGATTGTTTCTTGTCTGGAGTTCCCTTGCATTTACTATTATGATTTTAGAATTTTTTAAATAATAGTAGCCAGATTTTGTTCATTTTTCATGTTACAGTACAGTTATTTTGTCCATTATTAGCAAATCTGTAATTTGAACAGAAGGCAAGCTGCTTGTGGTGTGAGAGAATTGGCTGTCTACAGAGACGTTGCCCAGGGGATGCCCAGATGTGTTGTTACCATCCTGTTGAGAGGCTTTCTCTTATGTCCAAGCAAGCTAGAGCTGACAGCCGGATTCAAACCGGCAACCTTCAGAGGTCAGCAACCCAACCTTCAGGTTAGCAGTCCAGCCGGCGAAAGGGTTTAACCCAGGCATGGGCAAACTTTCTAACTTGGGGGGCCGCATGCTAGCACTSCCTGCTAGGAGGACTGGCTGCCCGGTGATGGAAGGAAGGAAGGGAAGGAAGGAGGTAAGAGAGAAGGGAATAAGGACAAAAGGGTGGAAGGGAAGGATGGAAGGAGAAAGAGGGAGAGCGGGAAGGCAGGAGGAAAGAAGGAAGGAAGGAAAGACAAAAGGGAAGGAAGTATGAAAAGATGGAAAGGAAGGAAGGAAGAAGAGAAGGAAGGAAGAGAATGGTAAAGGAAAGAGAGAAGGAAGGAAAGACAAAAGGGAAGGAAGGAAGGAGAAAGAGGGAGAAAGGGAAGAGAGGACGAAAGGGTGGAAGGGAAGGAGAAAGTGGGRAGGAAGGAGGAAGGAAAGAGACAAGGGAGGAAAGAGAAAAAAGGAGAGAGGAAGGAGGGAGGAAAGAGGGAGGGAAGGAAAGACAAAAGGGAAGGAGGGATGAAAGGGTGGAAGAGAAGTATAGAAGGAAAGAAAGTAGGAAAAAGAGAAAGAAGGAAAGAAAGGAGGAAGGAAAGACAACAGGGGAGAAGGGAAGGATGTAAGGGTAGATGGGAATGGAGAGAGGGAGAAAGTGGAGAAGGGGGAAAGAGAGAAGGAAGGAAAGACTAAAGAGAAGGAAGGATAAAGGGGAAGGCGGGAGGACAGAGGGAAGGAAAGAAAGACAAAAGGAAGGATGAAAGGTTGGAAGGGAAGGATGGAAGGGAAGAAGGAAGAAAAGAAAAAAAGAAGGGAGAGAGGAAGGGAACGATATAGAAAAGAAGGAAGGAAAGACAAAAGGGAAAGAATGAAGGACGAAAAGGAGGAAGGGAAGGATGGAAGGAGAACGAGGGAAGGCAGGAGGAAAGGGGGAAGGAAAGACAAAAGGAATGGAAGAAAGGATGAAAGGTTGGAAGGGAAGGATGGAAGGAAAGAAGGAAGGAAAAAGAGAAAGAAGGGAGGGAGGAAGGGAACAATAAAGGAAAGAGAGAAGGAAGGAAAGACAAAAGGGAAGGAAGGAAGAAGAAAGAGGGAGAGGGAAGGAAGAAGGAAAGGGTGGAAGGGAAAGAGAAAGGAAAGAGAGAAGGAAGGAAGGATAGGATGGTGAGAGAGAGGAGGGTCTGAGAAAAGAGCCCAAGGGGCCACATCCGACCTCCAGCCCTGGGTTTGCCCATACCATACCTGGTTGAACCCATTGCACCATTGCGGCTCGCCCAGGTGAGGCGGAGACTTTTTGCCAGAAGCCCAGAAAGACTTTCCTTCCCAAAGCCTTTGAAGGAAGAAGGGGAGGGCCAAGTTCTGCTGAGTCTATCCCTTTAAGCAGACCTTTGGCTTTGAAGCCTGGGCTTGAAGCAATGCGAGAGAGAGGGGTCTCTTTCTACTGAGCCTACCACATCTCACCAGCTCCTCCTCCTTTTCCTCCGTTGCAGGTCATAACGGATAGACCTCTTCTCTCCCCTTGTCTGGAGAACCTTTGAGGACTGCCACTGGTGCCCTTCTGGGATTCACACGTCGATTGGATTGGCTTTTTGGCGCCTCTAACAGACTTCTTTTGCAATGCCAGTGGTGCCCTTTGAAGGAACACTTCTGAGACTCACTCTCCGGTTGGATTGACTTTTTTGGGGCGCCTCTAACAAGAGGAAGGCTCTTTTTCTGCTCGGCTTGTCCAGATCCGCTCTCTCCATTTCCTCCAAAGCCGGCAACTCTGTGCTGACTTCTTCCCCTTCTCCAGAGGAGGTGATATTGGTCTGGGCTTCTTCCCTTTGGGTTTCCTCTTCCACAGTAAGGACTGCCTGCCTGGGCTCCTTGTGGCGCTTGCCATGCCCTCCTCCGCCTCCTCCTCGGCCCAAGCAGGAGCGCCCTTGCCGCCGTGGTGGGGCCGGTAGGGCGGGATGGCGCTGCGAGGGGCCCCCTCGTGGTGCTGCTGCTGCTGCCTGGGTCCCGGGGGCGCCTGCAACGAGGACAACGCCCGCTTCGTCCTCCTGGCCGCCCTGATCCTGCTCTACCTGCTCTGCGGGGCGGCCGTCTTCTCCGCCCTGGAGCGGCCCTCGGAGCGGGAGGCGCAGCAGCGCTGGCAGGGCCGCCTCCAGGACTTCTCCCGCCGGCACAACCTCTCCGCCGCCGAGCTCCGCGCCTTCCTCCGGCACTACGAGGCCGCCTTCGTCGCCGGAGTCCGCGCCCACCCGCTCCGCCCTCGCTGGGACTTCCCCGGCGCCTTCTACTTCGTCGGCACCGTCGTCTCCACCATCGGTAAGATCCCCAGCCTCCCACCATGATCGCCCAGAAAAAGTCAACTTTCCCAACTTCTGAGGCAAGAGTTGTTCTAGAAGCCATGTTCTAGAAGCATTCTCTCCTGACGTTTCGCCTGCCTCTATGGCAGGCATCCTCAGAGGTTGTGAGGTCTGTTGGAAGTTAGGAAAATGGGGTTGGGAGGCAAGTGTGATGTTGCAATTGGCCACCCAGTGGTAAGGAAACAGTATTTTGGCGCCCCCCCCCCCAACCAATCATTGATATATATTTTCTGTTCGTCGTGGGAGTTCTGTGTGCCATATTTGTTTCAATTCTATCATTGGTGGAGTTCAGAATGCTCTTTGATTGTAGGTGAACTATTCATCCCAGTAACTACACTTGCCGCACTTGCTCCCTTGCCTGGCCCGCTTTGGGTCCGGAGGCGTGCCTGAAGACCCCGGCGTGTGCACCAAAAGTCACCTCTTCTCCTGACTTTCTCCTCAGCCATTGGGACCAAGAGAGAGAGAGATTGGGGAGAGGAGAGGAGGCGGGTGGAGCGCTGGGGGATCGGGAAAGGGAGCCGGTCATGGGGAAGGGATCGAACGCGGAGAACGATTGAGCGCCGGCTCTGCTCGCGCACCCGGTGGCCGGGTGGAGCAGGAATGAGAGGGGCAAGGCGAGGCTCAAGGGCCCGGCCCCTTTGGGAAGAGGATCGCCCAGCAGCGAGGCAAGAGAGCCGAGGCTCCCCCCGGACTGCTAGGGCTGTTGTGAGCTGAGGGGGTGCGGTCGAGGGGCATTTACAGAGGCGCCTCTGCACCCCTGGCAAAAAAAGTGTTCTGTGACCGCTTACTTCGCGTAATGGACGAGCCGCCCCTGCTGGCCACAGATATATAAACCCAATTTTCCTGGCTCCAACAGACCTCACAACCTCTGAGGATGCTTGCCATAGTTGCAGGCAAAACATCAGGAGAGAATGCTTCTAGAACACAGCCATATAGCCCGAAAAACCTACAACAACCCAGTGATTCTGGGCACCACAATTCAAGAGAGATATTGACAAGCTGGAATGTGTCCAGAGGAGGGTGACTAAAATGATCAAGGGTCTGGACAACAAGCCCTATGAGGAGCGGCTTAAGGAGCTGGGCATGTTTAGCCTGAAGAAGAGAAGGCTGAGAGGAGATATGATAGCCATGTATAAATATGTGAGAGGAAGCCACAGGGAGGAGGGAGGAGCAAGCTTGTTTTCTGCTTCCCTGGAGACTAGGACGCGGAACAATGGCTTCAAACTACAAGAAAAGAGATTCCACCTAAACATCAGGAAGAACCTCCTGACTGTGAGAGCCGTTCAGCAGTGGAACTCTCTGCCCCGGAGTGTGGTGGAGGCTCCTTCTTTGGAAGTCTTTAAACAGAGGCTGGATGGCCATCTGTCAGGGGTGCTTTGAATGCAATATTCCTGCTTCTTGGCAGGGGGCTCGACTGGATGGCCCAGAAGGTCTCTTTTAACTCTAGGTCTCTTTTAACCTCATGGGCCATCCAGCCTCTGTTTAAAAGCCTCCAAAGAAGGAGCTTCCACCACACTCTGGGGCAGAGAGTTCCACTACTGAACAGCTCTCACAGTCAGGAAATTCACAGTCAGGAAATTCAGGTGGAACCTCTTTTCCAACGCTATGATTCTATAAGCAGCTGAAGGGTGAAAGGAAGGGGACTGAGGCTGTTAGGGATTGTGGAAGTTGAAATCCAAAACACCTAGAGAGAGGGCCCAAGTGTGCCCATGCCTTGTGTAGATGGTACTAAGGTCTTTATTTAACCTTCTCTGCCAATTATTATTATTATTACTCTCAGGATCCCTCTCCAGTGACTGGGTGTGGGGGGCGGGGGGTGGGGTCCACCAGAATAAGTAACTTTCCCCAAAGAAAGATACTTTTGTCCCACCCCCTTCTGTTCCTCCTCCTTTCCTTCCTCTCCATCTCTTAGGGATGCAACCATTCTACACTGTTGAATTAGCAGCTTTGAATCTTCTTTAAGAGAGCAAAGTGGGATACAATGATGATGATGATGATGATGATGATGATGATGATGTTGATAGCTGCAACAATGGCTCAGTGCTATGGAATCTCGGGAGTTGTAGTTTGGTAAGGAAATAGCACATTTTGGCAGAGAAGGCAAAAGACCTTGTAAAACTACAATTCTCAAGATTCCATAGCATTGAGCCATGTTAAACTGCATTCATTGGCCAGTGTAAATGCACCCTCCATCCTTGTGGCACTTGGGCTTTTCCAATGCAAAGAATGCTACTGCATTTTGAGCATCCCTTATCCACATTTTTTTTTCCGTGTCAGGAGCGACTTGAGAAACTGCAAGTTGCTTCTGGTGTGAGAGAATTGACAGTCTGCAAGGACATTGCCCAGGCGATGTCTGGATTGTTTGATGTTTTATCATCCTTGTGGGAGGCTTCTCTCATGTCCCTACAATGGAGCTGACAGAGGGAGCTCATCCGCTCTCTCCCCGGATTCTAACTTGCGACCTGTCGGTCTTCAGTCCTGCTGGCTCAAGTGTTTTGGGATGGAAAGTATTTTGGTTTTTTGGGGAATTTCTGTATATGCATACAATGAGATATCTTGGCAATGGGATCCAAGTCAAAGCACGCCTTGAGTCTTCTCTGGGGTGAGAAAGGCGGGATATTAATATGGTAAATAAATAAAGCCATGTACTTTCCTAAATTCTTTATAAGCATAGCCTGAAGGTAATTGTATAAAATAGTCTTAAATGTTTTGCACAAAACGGAAGAAAGCAGAAATGGCACTTATAGATTTTGGAGTTTGGAATTCTGGATAAAGGATGCTCAATCCCCAAGTAGAAAAGAACCAAACTAAATCACCACGGAGAAGGGAGGGAGGGGCTGAATTTTTTATGGACTTTTGTGCTCTACCTATTTTCAGGGATAAGCCTTGCATAGCATAAGGTTTAGACTTAAGGTCCCATAGCTACTTCCCATAGCTGAGACTAATATTGATGCCGGATAGCATGATGGTTGAGTTTAAGTACATGTATCAGATGTGCTTACTTTGAAGTTTGTGATTGTCTTGAGCAAATATTTTATATTGAAAAATTAAATAACTTTCTTATCTGTAGAATAGAATAGTGAATTCCTCAATATGAGGAGTCAAAAAAGAAAGAAAAAGAAAGAAAAGTGAGGGGAGAGAAGGTGTCATCACCTTTGGATGAATTGATTTCTAGAATGTGTGAAACTCACGCTAAAATAATTCAGTCTCAAAGCTGTTGCTAGATTTTTTTTCCCTTATCACTCCCCTTTCCCCTCTTTTCAGGATTAAATATATTAGTAGAGCTCTCTCTTTGAAACTGCTTTCAATGGGAAGTCAAAATTCCCTGACATAGAAGTGTAAGGGGAGAGCTTTCCTAATAACACTTCCTCTCCTGCCCACCCACCCACCAGCTGGATTGCTCCCCATATCTTCTTAAGCATACTATGCTCTTCTCTGTGTTAGCCATTCACCTGTGGATGGAGTACTAGGAAAAGAAGTCACTTTTTTCATCATACCCTTATTATGCATTTTCCTCTTAAAGTTGCCAATTTATTTATTTTGTGTCAAAAGCATTGCATAAATAAGTATAAAACTGATAAAAATAGAAAGAGCACAAGCGGCTAAATAATTTTTGCCCCAAAATGGGCAACAGTGACCACATTGTCTGTGGCTTTAGACAATTCTTCCTCTTTGGATGAGGCAGGGCATTGTGGGCAAGCATACAGATCCAGAGTTGTTTGTTCTGCTTCGCAGTCGTACAAGGTGGAGGATCCTTCTACGTAGTGCCATTTTTTGAGGTTGTGTTTTGATCTGCCCACCCCACTTCTGAGTCTGTTCAGGAATGTCCAAGCTGCCCATTCTTGGTTTGCCCCTGGAGGAAGACCCTCATGGGGGGGCGGGGAGGTCATCCATTTGGGATTTCCTAGTTTAGTTGCCCAGAGAGATACTCTTGCTGTTGCTGGGGGGACATTAAAAGGAATGGTGGTTCTCATAAAACTTTCCCTTGATTTGAGTCTACTGGGAGGAGGCTGATAGCCATGCAGTGGATGGCTTTCACAGTGTTCAAACTTATTTCTCTCCTAGTTAGCAGCAACTTCCTGTTGCTAGCGTGTAGAGTTTATCAACAGGTGTAGGTTTGAGACATCCTGTGATTATTCTTCATGTTTCGTTCAGTGCTATTCACCTGCTTTGCATAGGCAGACTTATGCCAGACAGGGCAGGCATACATAGCAGTTGAGTAAGACAAGGCCAGGGCTGATGTTCTTATTAATTTTGGGTCTGCATCCCATGAACTGCCAGTAAGTTTCTACAGGATGTTATTGCATGCAGCTACTTTATGCTTGGTGTTCATACAGTGTTTCCTAAATGTTAGTGTTCGATCTAAGGTGACACCAAGATATTTAGGGTGACAACAATGTTCAAGCTCTTGGCCTTCCCAGGTAACTTTCAATTTCCTGTTGGCTTTACAGTTCCATAGGTGGAAAGCGCACACTTGTGTCTTGTCAAGGTTAGGCTTCAGGTGGTTATCTTTGTAGTAACTGGCGAGCTCTTTCAAGGCATTAGTAAGTTGGTTTTCAACTGTTTCAAAGTCTTTTGCTTGTGTTGTTAGGCTAAGGTCATCAACATATATAGAGCTCTTTGTAAGTGATGGCTGTGGCTGAAGGTTGCCAGTGATCCACTATCATCTGTCTCACCACCTCATGATGTTTCCTAGATATGTTATTGCTGTTGAACACTCATTTCCCCAACCTAATCGTTTTTCAGGCGGTGGGACGTTCTTGACAAACCATTCCATGGGATACCAGGTTTTGATGTTATCTGAACTGATTAATCTCAATAATCATAACATTTAGCAGACACATTTGGCTTTTAATGTTTCCTGCTTTTGGTAAGTGACCTCAAACAAGTTGTCTAGTGCATAGTGTGTTTCATAACCTAGATTATTCAAGCTTTTTCTCTTTTATCTGGGATCAGTCT